GTCACAAAGTCCTTCCCTGCCCCATCTTCCACTGCCCTCGCGATCACGAAGAGGGCGAGGTCCTTCACCGATACTCACCGGCACATTACGAAAAGGTCCTACAGGGAGGGCCTCCAAACACTGTCTTGATCTTGCCGGAGAGCGCGAGGTCCAACAAAGCCGCGTAGGTCGCATCCGCCATCACATCCTCGGCCTGGTCCACCGTCACCACATGGGCCACGTCCGCGCTTGACTTCCACGTAGCTCGATCTCGTCCGCAGAACAAATGCACCGCCACCGCCGATGCCTTCCTCCACTTCTTTCTCTCATGGCGGTTCCACGGAACTCGGTTCCCATCCGTTCCGGCGACTACCGGGACAGCCGACACCAACCACGATGGAGCCTCGGGGAAAGTCCGATGAAGCCAGGCCCAAGACAACCCAACATCATTGTAGAGCTCCTTTGCAGCCTTGACACCCAGCTCCCAGTCCAACTTTCGAGCATCCAGTCTGGTACGCTGACAACCCTCAACAAGACGATTGACGGCCAGCTCGGCCTCTCGTCTCCTCAACTTGGTCGCTTCCGCCTCGGCAATCAAGTCCAAACCCGTTGCCTCGTCCACTTCAGGACATCCATGAACAATCCGCACACCAAGGTCGCCCTTGACGGGATGCACCACAGAACAGCCTTCGCTGCTGCACCACGTCACACGGCAGCCCACTTCCATGAGGTCATTCATCGCAATGATCGGGGCAGTCTCCTTGGTGGTGAGCAAAGTTCCAACTGGTAGAACGTGGTCTCGCCCTCGGCCAACAACACCGTCCTCAAAGGAAGCCCTTTCGCCTCGTTTCCACGCGCAGTTCTCATAGACGTGGTGGCCCCAGAGTCAACTAGAGCTCTCCCGCCACCGCCCGAAGAGCTCTGAAGCGACTTCACCGTCATCTTGGCCAGCCTCAACGACTTCAAAGCTTTGGTCGCCTCCTCGAAGAACTCCGTCCTGGCCGAGGTGTCCTCAGACCCCGCAGGAGGGACCGTAGCACGGCCCGGGTCCTCAGCAGGAGTTTCCTCCTCGGTCTTTCTCACCGCCTCCTTCTGACGGTCCTTTCCTCCTCCCTTCCGACGGTTCTTCTTTGGTGGCTTGTCCTCGCCTCCTCCAGCCGTTCCAGCCGTAGCCGCCGAAGTCGAAGAAGAATTTTGGGCACCACCACTTTGCCCTCCACTGCCATTGCTTGCGGCTCCCCCAGAGCTGGACTGTGTTCCGCCCGCTTTTCCTCCACCACCAGAAGCCTTCCCCCCTTGCCCGAGCAACGGGCACTGCGGCTTCAAGTGGGACTCAGAGCCACATTCCCAACAACGTCCGGGACCCAGAGGCGAATGCAAGAACATACAGCTCGCACCATAACGGCAGCCCGTGCCGTCTTGCCAGCCCCAGCATGTTTTTTTGCCCTTGGCCTTGCCCTTGCCTTTGTCGCCACCGTCCACACCAACGTTGGCATGATCATCCATCCGAGCTACCTTGGGCTGCACCGGAAGCGGCTGGGCTAACTGAGCTGCTTCCAGCTCCCCGAGGATCAAGTAGGCGTAGTCCTCAATGTCCACGGCCGTGGCGCGGTACTCCAACTGACGCTCCAACTTGAAAGAGGCGATCCGGAACGAGGCGGATGGATGCTTGTTACCCGCCCCGGAAAAAGTAGCACTCACCAACTTGTCCAGGCCACGGCACAACAAGCTTGGATCTGGCAGCACAACCTGTAGTTCGCGGCCTCTCCGAAACAACCTGATCCATTTCCGCGCCAAGTTCAAGGTGTTCTCCAAGCCATTGCCCGTTTCCGGCACCGTGAGAAACTGCAGCAGATGCGCCTTCTCGCCCGCACCTCCAGGTTGGTAAGCACAGTGCACCATGAACACCATAGACTCCGCAGTCACAGCACGAGCACTGATAGCCTCATGACGAAGCTCCTCAGGCAGCGCATCCAGCAACAACATCGCCGCTCGCTGCTCCACTCTGTGGTGACGATCCGGAGGGGGCCTTCTTGAGAGAACTTGCTGACGTATCGTCAACCGTGCCACAGGAGCGCTCTCAAGCCAAAGACTGTACAGGTCCTTGACTCTCTCCATCAAAGCAGACCACCACCTCGCCGCCGTCGGGGACAACGAGCTCATACTTGGTTCCAGCTGAGCCAACCAGTCCCCTGCCACCACCGCTGCATCACCACCCTTTGCTGACTGAAGTGCCGGAAGCTTAGTCACCAACTTTGATGGCTCCTCGACCTCTTCACTGAAGCTTGCACTTGTAGTAGTTGAGGTAGTCAGAGGCGTCGTAGGAGGAGGTGGAGGAATAGGGGTCCCCCCTGGCGTCACATTCAGATTCCAGCTTGATCCCGAAGCCTTAGGCGTAGTAGGCGGATTTGAAGGGGGGGGTGGTACTCCTCCAGTAGGAGCTGCACTCCCATTGTCACCGCGATTCAAGGCTGAAAACCCAGCTCCACCGCTGCCACTGAACAGAGGCTGTACCACCATCTGCCCTTGAACCATCCGATACTCCCTCCAAACGCCATCTACCATAACCAAACCATTGGGCGGCGCATTCATCACCAACCCACCACTGCTCACACCCCCTTCCATTGGAGGACGAAGCTCTGCCACCGAAACGGGCGACCCCCGCAAAGGCTCATGATGCCTTTCTGCCGCCATTGAAGTCGTAGCCGCAGTCGAAGAGCTCGGCCAACCAGGTCTCGCCTCAGAAGCCGCAGCCACATCCTCAGACCCCGGAACCTTAGAAGAAGACACCGTACTCGCTGGCATGGTCATAGGTCTCTCCTCTAAGCCAACATCCCCAACGCCCTTTCCCCTGCTAAGACCAGGTGGGTCCTCTCGCTCCGAGTTCAGCTCTGGGATCCTGGAGGCTGGCCTGAACTGACCTAAGGTAGCATCCTCCAAGGCGCTCCGCTGAGGACTTGTCATAGACCCACCCACTGACTGAAGCATCGGCATTCTCTGGGACTCCATAGCCTGTTGAAGCGTGGACATTCTTTGTGACTCCATAGCCTGTTGAAGCGAAGACATTCTCTGAAGCTCCATAGCCTGTTGAAGCGAAGGCATTCTTTGAGACTCCATAGCCTGCTGAAGCGTAGACATTCTCTGAGACTCCATAGCCTGCTGAAGCGTGGACATTCTTTGTGACTCCATAGCCTGTGGAAGCGAAGACATACGCTGGGACTCCATAGTCTGTTGAAGCGAAGGCATTCTTTGAGACCCCATAGCCTGATGAAGCGACGGCATTCTTTGAGACTCCATAGCCTGCTGAAGCGGTGGCATACTTTGAGACTCCGGCATTGAAGAAGAGGTCATTGGGTCCCCATACAGAAGCACGGGCCAATTCGTCTCCGCCAACGGTCCCAAGAGCCGTCCTGGAATACCACGTTCCACCTCAGCCGCTCTACGACGAGCCGTCTCGCTATCATCGCTGCTGAAGGTCCCAGCCATGACCTTTTCCAGTGACGCCAAAGGTCGCTCGAACTCTGGCTCGATTCCACTCTGCCCCAAAGACATCTGATTCAACTGCCGCTGCAGCCGTCCCATGTCTTCAACTCCCAACGCCCCAGTCGGCCTTGAAGTTGCAGTCGCCGGAGTCATAGCCGATGGAGTGGGCTGCTGTGATCCTTCTTCTGTACTCATCGGGACCTGGCCACCCACCGAACCGCTGGCAGACTGCCATTGTTCCATCCTGTCCACTCTTCCCACAAGGGTACTCAGCAAACCAGTCATAAAGTTCAGAGACCGCGATATCTGGCCAACATCTTCTTCACGACGCTCCATGGATCTCGTCCGGGCCACAGCTGCACCATTATCGCACGCCCCCAAACTTTGCTGCTCTGTCAGAGGAACCAGCGCTGGCTGCCCATCAGAGGTGGAATCTCGCTGGAACACAGGAGACTCCACATGATTTCCCTGGCTTCCGTGCTCAGCCGCTGATCCCTCGACCAAAACAGTCTCTGACCGGCTCGCTTCATACAGAGGATCCTGCACCTGCTCGTCAACTCGAACTTCTTGAAGATGGCGTCTGGACTCCTCTCCAGAACCTTCCTGCAGGGCCTCCTCCATGATCCTTTGCCCATCTCCTTCCGCGCTATCCGCCGAGGTCGCCATGACCACCGAAGGAATTACGTGAGCGTTGGGCTCATAACCCTCGAAGAGATACAGGGCACTCACTTTTGCTTTACAAGCCTTAGCGGCGTCAGAGATCAGCACAACATGCCGCGATTCACAATTATGATTGAAGGAAGAATATTCCTGAATTAAGGGGTATTGGGGCTCTCTGGCTTAGGGTTTACGGGTTCAGGGCTCTAGGGTTCAGAGTTATAGGGCTCATAGGGTTTAGGGTTTCGGGGCTCAGGGTTTAGGATCTAGGCTTAAGGTGCCCTTCAAATAAGTATACATAGAATCATGTCGTCTATTGGACCTCAAGAAGCGTAGAGGAAGGCAAAACCCTAAACCTTAAACCCTAAACCCTAAACCACAAAACACAAAACACAAGAGGCCCGAGGTTGCCTTCCCATCTAGGTGCGTGAATGTTTTTTTAATGGCTTGCCGGTGTCCATAATCGAAGAAAAGTAGAATTACTGTAGGGGCCTAAATAAATACCTATACGAGTTTAGGGGCTCCTGATTTTTATTCTAGTAGAATGTACCCCAAAACCCTATTCTAGTTATTAAGGCCCCTATAGGAGCCCTGAGGAACCGCTAATTTTCAGGCCCTTCTGTTAAGCTACAAGGTTTAGTGCTTAGGGCTTGTAGGGTTTAGGGTTTCGGCTGTAGGGTCTTTGAAACAAGAGCTCTATGGATTGAAGCTTTCAGAATTGCGACGCTGGAGAAGGAACACCCCTATAGAAAACCCTCTAAACCCAAATGAAGCCCTGCAAGACCCTACACATTGCCTGAACGCAGGTGAGGCCATATAGGACCCTAAACCCTAAACTCTAAACCCTAAACCCTAAACCGTGAAGTTTGCTGCCGAGTTGCAGCCAGTATCTGCACAATAGCCTCGATATGGCTCTCGGGAAGTCTGAAGTGCATGTGATCAAAACGAAATACTGTAGGGGCCTTGATAATCAGAAAAGGGTTTAAGAGTATGTTATACTTTAAAGGCCCCTATATTAGGTCCCCTGACTTCCTGGATCAAGGGCTGACCTCTTGGTTTAGGGGTTTGGAGCGGCTGAGGGCCCAACTCCCAGAGTTCAAGTGTTTGTGAAGTTATCGAAGGATGCTGGTTTTTTCATGATTAACCGAGGGTCCATGTATACTACCATTCTGGAATTAAGTCCTCAAAGCCATGATAGGTATGGCCTTTTGAGACCGTCAGTATATATATATATATACATACATACATATATCATATAAGTATATATGGACCCTCGGGTCACGGGGCATCTAGACATTTCAGGTGGAGCAATCGAGGGTCTCGGGGTGTTGGCTTTCCCAGAGGGTGCTGATACAGCGCATACTTTGGCCTTGTATAGGTTTAGGGTTTAGGGTTTAGGGTTTAGGGTTTAGGGTTTAGGGTTTAGGGTTTAGGGTTGGGGGATAAGTACGTCAACGGCAAAGTATCCACCTCATGTGCACGTGGACACGTAGCATTTTAGGATCGTGTAATGTCTGCTTGGGTTACCTTCTCACTTTTCTTGTCACCCAAAGGATCCTAGACGTACTTAGGCGGCATAGGTAATAAAGAAGCCTGAACAACTAGCACTACGCTTCCTTCGGATTCCTGAATAGTGATAATTAATTACAATATATTCCGAAGCCTTAGTACCAATAGTATGGATCTCCCTATACTAAACCCTGTTCCACTCCTGATACTGATTCCCTACCGACTCCTGAGTAATACCTAAACCCTCTATTCGAATGGCTAAGGCATGCATGGTAATCTTAAGCCCCGAGCCCGTAACTACGCGAATCTCTAGGCATTCTTTAAGGAATCTCTCAAAGCCTGATAACATACCGTGATTAGGGTTAAGGGTTTAGGAGTTTAGGGTTTAGGGTTTATGTTACCGTAGATGATGATACAATAGTAAGAGAAGGTAATTAGGCTCAAAGCTTCGCGCATACTACTGATGGCTCAGGCCAGGGGTGTGGAGCTGCGAGCAGTTCTGCGTAATCACACCGCTGCCCGCGCACTGCCGCCCTTCGACTCACTGGTGAAATGTAGGGGCTTGAATAATTAGAATAGGGTTTTGGGGTCCGTTATACTATAGTTCTAAAAAGGAGCCCCCAAAATAATGTAGGTAATTATTGAGGCCCCTACATTACCTCATGCCCCGAAGCCGAAGACAAGCATCAGCAAAACCGGCTACCGCAATCCCCCCTAGCCCTGAAGCCTGAATCTAAGGACTTTAGGAGGGCCCCTAATAGGGACCCTTAATCCCATTACCTTAAATAACCATTGTATAGTCCGTTTATACCCCTTGTAGACCCAGGCAGTCTCCATATCAACCCCAACAACCGACAAGAGTCCCTATTCAGGGGTCCCTCCTAAACCCCTAAAACCCTAAACCCTAAAACCCCTAAACCCTATAGTACCCTTTAAAAGGAAGCATAGGATCCCTATAGTACCTTCTAAACGGACCGGGTCCCTCTTAAAGCCCTTAGACGGAAGCTCCCACCCTGAAGCTCGCACCGAAGCTTCTTACCACGTGGCGTCTTCTGAGGCTTCGTTGGGTCGTCCTCCTGAGCCAGACTTTAGGGTTTAGGGTTTAGGATTTAGGGTTTAGGGTTTAGGGTTTAGGGCTTTAGGGTTTAGGGAAGTTTAGGGTTTAGGGTTTAGCTCAAGTATGTGTGTGGGGTTCGGGAGGGGTACCAGCAGCCGTTTTTGTGGCTGCTGCTGTTGTTGTTTTCCGGGGGTGATCGTGTTGATGCTGGTCGTTATCTTGAAACCCCCTGCCACAGAAGGCTCCATGCTTGATGCTATGTTGCTATCTACAAGAAAACTCGCATGTGACTTCGTGTCTTCCGATCGACATAGCCTGGAGCCCTAAAGAGAGATGAGAACCATGCGCATATATGATCCCGGTTCTCGGTTCACCGACCCCCCCCCCCCCAATGGTATCCCCCCCCGCCCCACGCTCCCCAAGCCGAATCTGTGCGACTGTGCACGCTTTTTTCCACACGAAGGGCTCACACGCCAAGCA